CCATTATCTTGATGAATCCGTTTTACTCGAAGCGCAAACCCGACGATCAACAGTTAGTTTATTGATATTTCCTGATTGTGGTTTTTAAACTTATGTAATGTCAATTCAAAGTTCGTTATATAAAATAAGCCAAGCTAATGCTGAAAAATATCGGAAATGTGTTTTCCCCGTTCGTACTATCTTGATCTGACTCTACTTCGTTTCGCTCTCATGTTTGTATTAGGTTTTACGTTGTATAGTTCACTAATAGTAGGGATAGGTAGTCAACCTGTATTAATCCTTGCAGTCTGTAATATTCTGTAAATCTAGTGTCACTTCAAATGTCTCAATAAGTGCTGAGTATTCACCTGATAACTAGGACCAAATGGTGGTTATAAACAAGTGTGAGGATTTAGAATTATGATTTACAGCTGATCGTTAGGGTTAAGAATTGGACTTGGGATTTTCATCACGAACTGATATCAGCTGTAATACCAAAACACTATTTAGCCAAATGGATGAGTGAATTTTGCGCCAAAACCCAAGACCTGTTATCTCATCTCTGGTTGGTTCGTCCATTAAATTATAGTCTCACCGATATTATGTTTCGTGGTAGAGGATTCCAGTGATTGACTAATTGGTAAGAGAAAGGGATCTCCAAAAGTGAACGACTTGATATCAGTTTTTGAATTTCTTAGGGTGTCCTCAGACGATTAGTCGTAGACGGAAGGAAGAAATAAGACATATTAATACCAAGATTATCGTTCGGTACGCGGTAAGCTAGCATTAAATCACCCCGTAACATGCGGTAAAATAACGGATGCAGAATGAAGCATCTCAGTCTGTCTGTCTTAGTCTTCATAAGATAGGCTAGATGGACATCTAATTATTCTGGCACCTCGCGGTTAAATTCGTCCTACAATCTCCCCTTCCTAATCGAAATAAGGACTCGTTGTTTCAATCCCGTATTTTAAATGCGTTCTCACGAAAGTCGAATAAAATGATCTTAACATTTCTGCACCGAAGTAACAAAATGAATTACGAGTAGACCATAGGATGCTGAAGCCATACAGTTACTCGTAGTTTCAGGGTCGTTGCTCATTATGGCCTCTGGATTTTTATAGTCTATCGCGCTTGGTAACACAATTTCACTTAATGTCTAGTGACGTGAGTTGTTGCAGTTATTTATCTGCATCACTACACTGTTGTTAGAGTTAACTCGTAGTGACCACCTGTAAATCTATTCACCCAGTGAATTACGGTCATTCGGTGATATTCTATCTGACACAATGTGTAGAATAGCTGACTTTGTGATAGCTGGTAAGTTATTTACGTAAATTAAAAATGAAGAGGCCCAAGGATTGTCTTGAATAACTCTAGAGTTTACAGATCCCACCTTGATTGGCCCTCATTTACTCGTACTTGTTGTCTCCTATCATTGAGAAAGTCTTACCTAGTTTGCGGTTTCAAAATGGATCCAAAAACTCAGTTTTTACTTAAGACCCAGATGAAAGACCGTGTCAAAGGCTTTATTTAGATTTATGAAAATTGCATCTACCAGAGTATTACTATTTTTCGCAGCAGGCCAGTCTTTTTTGTAATGAGAGGATTTGTCAAGTATGAGAGGCCTTTCCCAGAACCATGTGAATTCTTGAGATTCGGTCATTATCTGTGGATTCGAGGTGCTTATTTTGCGCACACTCACTTAGAAATCTTGTAGCAGAGACATCCTGTCTCGGTGGATTAATGTCGTAGTAAATGCCAGAGTAGAGACAGCACCTGTCAATCTTATCCCCATTAGTTGCTAGCTATGCGTTGTTAGGCTAGAAAGTCTCATTAAGGCGACAAAATATTGTTTAAAAATAATGTCTACCTAAGTCCCGCCAACGCAATAACTGATTGCAATCCGGAGGCAGGAAATGGGTTTTACCACTAATTAAATAATCTTGTGATAGAGCGCTGTAGATACGTGTTGTAGTTTTAGCTGAAATCTTAAACTACCTGGTCAGTCATCTCGGTAGAAAGGTAAATCGTTTGGATGACCCTTTCGAACTCGATGGTGGTAGGTCACATGGAGAAAACTTCCGTCACTACTGATACACTACCTGAGGTCCTTTGTGTTATCTTGGGAGATGTTGTGATTTTAGTTTGGCTGCAAACATTACAGTTTGCAATGAGTTAGTGAAACCTGTCCAGTCTGAACTGAGGGTATTCAGCAACTCTCCTCCCTCACACATTTGTCTCCAAAATATCATTCATCCGACCTCTAAAACCTGTTAGTAACGTCGAGGTTCAACTATGTGTTTAGAATCAATGATGATAATTCAGTTGGTGATCACTTACTACAACAATGGCTTCGATAGCCTGGATATGACTTATAAATTTCATCTTAGGTACTTTCACATCATGCATTATTTTCCGATACGAGGACTTCGTGAAAAGAACGGAGATGGTGGTTTATGACATGGTGTCGTGGTATGAACGATAAGTGTGTAGAACTGGAATTTATCAATGCGTTATGAATCGCTGGGTGAATTAGTTAGTGCTCCAACCACTTCTTTTATCTCGGAAGCTTCACTAACCCTAGTTTGTTGGTATCTGATGGAAATTCCATGCAGTCTGGGGAATTTCGCTCGGTATTTTCAGCCTACATAACTTGGGGGATATGGAGGTTGTTAGTATCTCTATCAGAACGTGAGTATTTTGCCAGTGTAAAGCGTGGCCTATGTAAGTAGATACATGGACTGCGATTACTTAATCGCAACTATATTTAAAGGATTTCTTGTTTACAGTGGAACCACCGAATAACTAATTCTGTCGTCAGATAAAACACTAAAAAACGTATAAAAGCGGTTAGAGTGGCTATGAATCTTTGTCGATTTACGTGGTTGGCACATTTTTTTATGTGTCCTCCGCCACCACCTACCTTGACACGCTATCGTGGTTGGATAGGATAAAGTTTGAAGGATGCCAGGAGCATCGAAAGCAGGGTATTGCACTAGTTCATGAGACCACTGTTTATTGGACATCCGTAGTGGTAGGTGCAGATTATCTGGTTAACGTCTTCACGACAAGCACTATCAACAGTTGAAGACCTTGGGTGATGTTTTAGAACCAGTCGTAGTAGCAGATGTATTCACTCTTTTTCTTAAACTGTAAATTTCAATAGTCCTCCACATACTTTTCCAAACGCTGATGTCTAGTTTTCCCAATTATCACTGGTACTGCTACTATTTTGACTTCTCTTAATCTCATCTCGCTTTCCTGATTTGGTGCCACAACTTGGGGTGTTGCTCATTTGAGCCAGACTGTATTTTGATCATGGCTGACGACTTTTCGGTTAGAGTATTACAAGTCGAACAACCAAGTGAGATATCAGACATGGCTCCGATTAGGAGCCATCTTATTAAATACCAACCTTTGCAGTTTAATTTTTTATTTCATGGCTCTACTCTCATTTCGTCACTGTCATTTCCTGTGTTGTGCATTTTCATGTCATAGTGGGTCAGAAATTGTATGTGCTACAAACAAGCATGTTCCTTTTGCAATATTTTAGGATGGATTTCATCGATAAGTTGTTTTCTGTTACTTTTGTACTCCTAGAGGTTCTAGTCTGAATTTTGTTTCTGATCTGTTCGTCATGGGCGGAGCTTTAATTATGGAATGCAGCGCATTGTTAGAATGGTGTGAGCGTAATGGCTACGGACCGTTTGCACTTCACGGAATTTCAATGGGTGGTTATGTAAGTTGTTCTACCAACTGTTTGGCCTAATTTCCATTTTCATTCTAACGAAAGTTCAAACTTTGTCATGTTGTACCCCATACATTACAATATACAGCTAATCTAACTTTTGAATTTTTATAGCTTTTGCTTCTGTCTGATGAATTCCGTAATCACAAGGAATTTGTAGAGTATAATCAGAATATAGTAATGAATTCAAATTACTTTTCAGGATTATTATTATAAAGAATTGACGTTTTTGATCTAATTAAAGAGTTCCTGATTGTTTCATTATTCAAAGATTTGAATGTAAAGACTTATTCAAGTGGGATCCTTGAAATAATTTTCCAATAAATGGGAAATGACTTTTTGGTTCCTATATAAGCATTCATGTTTTAATAATTTGAGCTAGTAGTTAACTGTCCCTTTTGGAGTTCTCTATCTATTGCTAGTGAAAACTGGTTTTTTACAATGACTGGTTGGAGTATCACAATGTACTTCCAAAAATAGTGCTCACTTCTTACCCTATCTACAGCAGCCAAACTAAAAATGTTTAGAACAAGTGTTACTAAACCGTTATTACTAATGGGTCGTCTGTGACAGACTTTAAGCAGTTGTCGCCCTCTTTCTTGACCTATCCACACTAACCCAATTATTTTTTCGAGTGTCAGAAGACATATATTATTCCATGGAATCAACTGTTGGAAAGTATTCACAAGAAGTTTTATTATTCAATTAAATTATTAAATCCTCTGATTGAGAAAAGGAACATTTCTTTATTCAATTGATGCCCATAGATGGCCAAATCAAAAATAAAATGTCAGCCTCTAAAACTACATAATTCGCAGTATAATTGATTCCACTATACATAGCTCGATGCTAAATAACACAAATGAAGACAAATACTCGCTTCACATCATTTCCAAGTGCACATATCAAAACAGGAAGACAAGCATCTAATGATTCTACCAAGCGTATTTCCAAAAAACTATACCTACAAGTACAAAACGTTCCTCGTAGTTCAATAGTACACCACCTAGTAGTTAGATATGAGGTTCGAAATAGATCCAGTAAATAGATTCAGTTGTTAGCGGGACATGGATTAGATTAAATCATCCTCAATGCACGCCTGCGTTGGCTCACACTGATTGGCTGGTTCTTATCCAATCAGCGCTAGTCGATACTTGGAGTACACTCTAGTATTTCTCATGTAGAAAACTATAAATATACTAACGTTTTTCCTATTGTGCTTCTTACTTTCTTCTAAGCTTGTTATTTGGAATATAATCTCTTTCCTGTTCAACCGTGTTCTGATTTGGGGACCTGTCGAGTGAGTTGGTGTCCAAGAGTACTAAGCAACAGGAATAGCTGGGTTATAACCGTAAGAGAGAATTATAACAAAAGTAAACAAGAAACAGCCCAATTCTGTCTTATTGAGATTTACGTAACTATTTACTAATTATACTAATCACATGATCAGTTAAAGCAACCTAGCTGTGTAATGAAATACTTCACAGTTTGTAGAGTATTTATTATTATTTTATCTTCTCGGCACATTCTATTAGCAGTGTTTTTACTAATCCGTCAAGGAAAGTGGTTCCATTTAGAATTGTTTTGTTTCACATTCTTATTCGGTCCCATTTGATATAAGCACTACTAATTTACATTTACAAGATCAAGTAATTAAAGGTACAATATGAATGACCCTAAATTTATTCAATACGAAGGCGAACCTGGAATAGATGATTTTTGATCTTTCGAAATCAGTCATTTTATCCATTTATTATACCATTTTTCATCTTATAGCTTGTTTAAAATTACAGTCAATGTACAAAAATATCATATTATCTAGCTGGTAACTATCAGTTTAGTTTATTTAATAGCGGTTTTGATAATCCCTTTTAAGAATAGTCTTTAATGATATTGACTTCTCAGTAATTGATTTCTATACATATGAGAGTTACTAATCTAGGATACCCAAGCAGTTTGGTCGGGACGACATCTAAGTTAAATCATCTTAAATGATTTCTAGAACGAAATGGCAATAGGCTTTCGGTACGTAGTCGTAATTTTCCTTTACGAATAAAATAATTGGATATATGTATTAGCTCTGTACAGTAAATTCATTTATAACTAAAAATCAACTGCAGCTTCATATCCCTGCTTACTGACTTCAGGTAACATGGTTCCAAATAAATTGCAATGGTGTAGATATATTCATTGTTTATCACCCTGTAAATCTTGGATTTTATGGTTATCTCATAGATTATATTCCTCAGTTTTGGTTCTCTTCAGACTATATTCTTTATGCATAATTTGTTTCCTATTGGCCGGTACTAATGTTGTGGCTTTTTTTAGTGTTTACTTTTCCCCGCTGTAATGTAAGATTTGATAGCATAGACGAATACACGTTGGTTTTGAGTCTTGCTTCAAAACTAACTACATGACTACATAAGCCAAAGTGAATAACAGAGGTCTCGAACTTACACCTGAATGGTTGAAAGTTAATTGCGTCTAACACTAAACCGCCTGAAGTAAATAGCATGTAAATGATGATTTATTTTACAGAAGTCTCATTTACTTATCTCTAAATATCCAGAAAGTAAGTAAGTAGTGTCTACAAAGCTCCAAAACATTTTATCATCCTTAATGTACTGGCATACTCCTTAAATGTGATACATGGTAAGTGAAATAAATCTTCGTATCCTTTTGTTAATACTACATACAATTGGTATTAATTAATAGTATTTGTTGTACTAATTTTTTTCCTTACTCCCCACTTTACCTAGAATTATAACTAAAGCTGATTAAAATTAATATGGTTAAAGAAATGTAGGTCAAGCACTGCCTTATGTTTGCAGAAATATGAAAGCAGACTCCTCCCCATCTGCAACTAAATTTTAGCAACCCCGATAAACTTTAAATTTCTTTAAAATTGCATGCAATAAAGCTCAAGTGACAGAATTTGAGAAGTGAAGATCACCTCCTCAATTCCCATTAGTTTAGTTAACATATCTATTTGCGACCACTTAGGGTCACTAGTTTTCGCATAAAAGGCACTTAAAGTCTACACCGTCACATGCTAAAGCATAAGTTTGCTGAATTTCTCTGTTGTTCTTGAGGTGAAATATTCCTCAGCTAAATTTAGCTCTTGGTGAATAATATTTACAAATTGTCTATATGGTGTACTTGAAGAAGGGTTGTTAAGCTAAACCACCATTTTTTGTTATGATGACAATTGATTTTATGCTTTCCAATCTAAATATTTTTTAAATGAGGATTGTCTCTATGAGATATACAGATTAATAATATATTTTTAGTTGTGCTTTCTCTGTACACTTTAGTTTGGTGCTTACATTTAAAACCTGTATATTTATATGTTTTAATTTACCAGATGTCATCCCTGTGTGCAACCGTTTGGCCGAAACCTATTTCCCTAATTCCTTGCTTGTCTTGGACTTCAGCATCATGCGTGTTTTTAGAGGTTCGTTTTGTAAAATTTTCTGTCATAATATTCTCACTAAATTTGTTTTACGTTTGAACTTAATTGTCCAAGTGTCGAAATCACGATCATATATTCAAACTCAAAGCAGCCTGGTTTAACTTCTACAACTGTATGGTGTAATTTATTAAGACATAAAAAGCACGGCTGTTGTCATAATAACCTAGGAATTTGCTGCAGTTATCAGTTCGCATTAAAATTAATAGTTAAAGTGTAAAAAAGGGAAAAAAGAAGAGGACTACGTAGCTAGTCATAAACTTTCAGCTCCCTCAGTAGTCACAACACAATTATCTAAATTTAGTTTCTACAAACCACAGTGGAATTAAAGACATTTTCTCATATAATACAGAAGCTTTTAAGATGTTTTAAAACTATTGACTTTCTTTGAGGACACAGTTGATGTTTGAAAACGATATGAATTTTATGTTATCTGTTAGCATTGACTTCTATTCGCTTTCACTATACTTTGGGGAATTCTTGATTCCATTCAGAAGTAACTTTTCTTTATGTTTATTCTTTATAGACTCGCGCTAAAATAAACAGTGCTATCCATTATTAATTAAAACGGTATGTATAAATGTACAATGAAACGTCAGTTAAATTCATTACTTAGCAATTTACAAGCAGAAAATATGCTAAAATGCTTGACATTTGTTTTCAGGACTAGTTTAGTCTAATATTTAATTCTTTGCTCCAGCAAGCTGCCAAGTCAATAGGTTGGCATCGATAATTTTGATTTTTCTTTTAAATTTTGACATGTCGTTCCCAGTCATTTATTTCCCTTAACTTGTTTTACTCACCTACTACAATAATACATGTGGGGTAAATATTGTTTCTTTATGCTTAGCAGATTTATAAACCATCTAGTTAGCACATTTCTGCATCATGAATTAAAAAACTTCTCTCTTAACTATTAAATCACATTTAACCCCAACAAATCTTTATCTTATGGTTTAAAAAATGCGTGATCGAATATGTATATGTGATTTCCTAACGACCTTTACTACACCTAAACATCTGTTTAAGAAAAAGAGAAGTTCTATTATTGTGTTAGTTATCGTTGTAGATATTTTGTACAACTAATGTAAGTTGATAAATCTCAAAGATACTTCTCTTAATTATTGATCATATTTCACTAATAACCAACGTACTAAAATTGTCACAACTTTTCAAATTAATATAGTGTCTGTGCTCCTTATTTACTGGAGAAACCATCTATTCTAATTTATTTTTTTGTATTCATCTTGTCCTCAAATGTTAGTTAGGGTGAATCAGAATACTTTGTAAAACCCAGTTACAATTTAAGGCTATTGATCATGTCAAGAAAGCATAATAATAATCATTATATTGAAAGAAGATTTCAGAAAGCTTCAGAAATACGTACGTTGTTTCATAGTCAGCTAATCTCTTATATTTTATCGTTTAATCAGTACACCTAATCGTTTAGCGTATATTATGTCGAATTATTTGTCATCCTTAGTGTCACAACAGTCTCACGTGCAACATAATTTTGCACTATAAAATTACTATTATCAACTTCAATTTATCTTTATAATAATAAGGTTTTTAAACTTATTATTATGTATAATTGTATACTATTTATTACATGAAATACTTTTTATATCCAGAAAAAAAGGGTAAACTTTCATTCACTTTATTTCTATTATCTTTTAATGTAACAAAAAGCACAATGTTTCAATGTAATTGGTCACTGTAAAGTGGTGATTGATGGAAGTTGACAGGAAACCCTTGGACCTAGTTTTCATGTTATTTACATCTCATGCTGCACGCAATATTGAGTCACTTAGATTAGTCGGAACATTGAAACTTGATCAGTAAAACTCAGCGAGCATTAAGGAAGACTTGAAGCATATAACACTGTTTACCACTGAATAGTTAGTCAACTGTATTTTGTCATTACTTTAATAAGGTAGTGGAAATAAGTCGACCAGCGAAAATGAAACATTGAACGCGAAAGTTCGGTATCGTATATATATATATATATATATATATATATATATATATATATATATATATATATAGTAGACAATTGTTTGTAGCCATTCGGTACTAAAATATTTATTTTATTATTGATTAGAATTGACAGCGAATCGGATAACGATGTCTTTTATTGAGTTCACTTCTTCATATATGGAAATAACACCTATTGTCCATTTACTGATATGTTTCAATATCTTTCTTTATCTTTTCTATTTTGATAGGGCATTTTATCGAATACAGTAGATTGGCCTGTGTTAACAAAACAATATTATTCTGATTCTGTATATTCTGATGTAATCCGACCTCGAATTCAACCACCTATTCCGGAATTCTATAAAACAACTGATGAAACTTTTAATGATAATTTGGGTAAAAAGAAATTGTTTCATTTTCAGTTTGTAATATTGTCATCTAGTTGTATATTATACCTAAACCTAAATACTATTTGATTATGAATTTCGGAGTTTCTGTTTATTACGCTTAAATTGTAAAATTATATTAGCTAATCTGTTTGAAATGTTATTATCTACCGATTTTAGGGTATTGACCAGCTTGATATGTGACAGTTAATTTATAATGAATGAAAATATGCTTAAAATCGTCAAATTAGAACATGATATCTTTTTAAACACGTTGAATTATTTATACGGTTCTAAGGTAATAATGCACATTATCATTCTTAATAACAATCATAAAAGAAGTGCTGTAGAATTGAAATACAAATGAAAAAATGTATCATTGTATGAATTATATCGATTAGCTTTATCCGAATATCTTGGAGTGATTTTCGTTAAAAATCTGTAATGATATACTTCATAGTCATTAATGCCTACCACTAAATTGCGTCTATTACTCTAAACAAATTTTCAGTTCTGAAATTCTAATAATTAATTATTCACTTTTGTGGTTAAAGAACCAACTAATCAGTTGTTTAATTAAATGTTATTGCTATAACTGTGACGGCAGATTAGAGGACAGCGAATTATTGATCGGACCAAAGACGCGCAAACACGTAGAACGACCTAGGGTTCTGATTGGTCCCGCTTCCCTGTCTAGCCCCAGCCAGTTGAGTCCAGAACACAAGTCACAGCCTCGGAGATATGAATCATTGTATTTCAAACACACTCTGTTTATATACTAATCAAGCAGACCACATCGTACCATAAAACAGAAAATAACATTGACCAGTAGGAAAATGACACGTGAAATAAGTACTGACCAATAAGAAAATAATACCATCTCCAAGTTTAAGAATAGCATTAGACTTAATAGAATAATTTTCGGGATATTTTCCTGAATATCCCAACAGTTATCTGTTGCATCTAGACAATCTTGGTTCAAATTTCAAATAGACCATGACTTCCTTTACGATAGCATGTGCATTTTATTGACGGATTTTCTTAATGTTATACAACACTCTTCAAATCTTTAGCCCAATTTGGTTGTACTCATGTTGTATGCTAATCAGTCGCTACTGTTTCATCTGACAACCGCCTCTTCTACGTTTGAGAGTGTCGTTGCTGTTATGTACTTGTTGACTCCCTTGAACCTACAGTCTTACGCTTGACAATCGAAAACCACTGTAACTGTGCGATCCTACTACTTGTAAGGGGAAACGGAAATCATTACATACCACACAATGCAATATTAGGACATGAAAGACTGATTTAACAAAGATTTATTGGCACCCTAGAAACATATTCACAAACAAGTCCTGAAAATCACGTCCAAAATTATGTCATCATTAGACTAAAATGCAATCATTTACCTACTAATTTTCACATATTTATATCACTTAGGTGGTGGGAATATGGTGTTACTGTAAAAAATACATTAAACATAATTCTCCTGGATTTATACATTAAACGAGAGTTCTCATTTGTCATGTTGAAGTTCATACAGAATCGATACAAGCAATACTGACTCTTAGATGTTACTGGGTGAAGTTCGTACCTGGTACCCTAGCCGAAATTCATAATGAATTTACCACAAAGAAATATTGACCTAAATAATGTCATATATTCGGTTGTATCGATTAATGAGTTGAATGATTACATTGCACTATTTAAGCAATAGCATTTAATAAATAGTGAATACGAAAGCTTCATTTTTCTTAACGTCTGTTAGTTAGTCCGTATAACTTAGTCCTTTCTTCGTTAGAATTATTTGACCCCCATTTAGAACAATAATTGATTTCAAGTTTTGAGTGGTTCGAGTATTCAGTGTAATAATTCAGTGGCAAGATTAACAACTATCTTATCAAGTGATGAGTTTCACATATGTTTAAGGTTGAAAACAACTGACCCTTTTCTTCATCATAATTACAAACGTTTTCAGACTTCATTCATAATTTATTCATGTACTTTTCCTTTTTGAGAGTTTGTTTCACTTAACTCTATTGGATTGACGCTTTTAAGATTTAAAGCTGTGTAGTTCACCTCTGATCTATAGTTAAATTTATAAGTAGTCTCTGGAATAAACATAAAAGTTTTAGTATTTATTGTTATGCAAAGTTATGTGTTTTAAACTTTCCCTATGTCTTCTAAGTATTACTTTTCATGCTTTTACAGGTGACAATCTTCAATATTCAACCATTTCAGTAAACTCTTTACATTCAAAGCACTCAAATCCTGTAAATGTTGCTCCTTTGGCTACATTCTCAAAACAATTGGATTCACATTTACATCCTATTAAAAGAAATCCTTTAAAATCATCATACTCAAGTTTTCAAGTTCGTGATCTATTGTCTCAGTTTATTAATATATCTAATTCAACCTCCCAGTTATCGTCATCCCATTCTAATACACACAAATTTACTATTGCTCAGAAGTTTCTTCCCAGCTTTATGTAAGTTGATGTGAAATTTTAGTTTATTTTGATTTGAACAACTCATATTGTGGTGAACGAAAACACAAGTGGAGACAACCAAATGCATTTCAATAAAATATTACAAAATCTTTTAGTAAAATCTGAGAACCATACAGTAAATACTTCATTTGCAAAATGTCAACTAATTGCATCAGAATTGATTGTTCCTTCATTTCTACACCAATCACTTTCTGTTCTCGTTCTCTTCTCTTCAATCTCTTCAATTTTATGCCGCCATGCATTTCACTTTCGATTTGTGCTACATACTACTTATGTCTATCGACGTCAGTGGCCCACATCACAATATATACGAACAGTATTGTTTTAGATTTGATCGTCATCAGGTTTTACTGTATTTAAGATCAATATCTATGTGAGTATATGAAAATACTAACCAATCAAAGCAATTAATGAGTCAATGATCACAGTGAAATAGATTGTATAATAGGTAAAACGTACAAATTGATAGTAAGAAGACAGGCGTAGTAGTAGTAGTAGTAGTAATCATAAGGGTGAGTAGATATCACTGATCTACTAGGAGATTTAAATGCAGGGTTGTCTGTATAGAATGTCCTATTAACTACTCTTGTTAATCTATTATGTAGGACATCACCAGCAACACCCCTGTTGAATTGTGGTTTTAAAAATATAGGTTTCCTACCGGTGAATAATATTTCCAGCTTATTTTTGCCAACATACATGTACTTTTTTTCTAGAAAATTCTCGGATAATTTTCATTTATATATTCAATATTTTGGTTACTTGTTGGCCTAGAATCCTTACTTGCTTGCCTAATAAAATCATTTGACATTATGATTACTTATCGATGGTAAGTCAGTTTATCACTTATAAACGACATAGACTTTAGTAAAAGTACGTATCAGTTCAAGTTCCCATATTTCACCTTAGGACATCAAAAATTAAATTAAAATAAGAAAACCAAAGCAATCTCAATGCCAATATAAATAGTAGCTTTTGTGAGATATATTCTTGACTTTGTTAATAATGTTCACTTGCAAAATATAAATCAACATTGGTATTCAATGAATTCGCAAGTTTCTCCATGGCTTTTCGTTCTCTGTCTTCTCTGAAAGTTACTTTGTTATCATACTTGGTTTATCAGGTCTCTTTCCTTTATTAAGATTTGTGGAAATTTAAGTTTATTTTTGTGTAAAAGGTTCTGAAGTTTATTAAACAACCAATCGCTCGTCATCTAATGTTTCTCCATAATGTTTTACATGCACTTTTACTATTTGTCCACATTGTGGAATTTTAATTAGCTAAAATGTTCAGTTACTACTTTCACATTTCAGATACACTGGTCTTCCGAATTCTTTGTCTACATTTAATTTCAATACAGTTTTTCGTTATCAGTGGAATAGTTATCGATGGCATAAAGAAATTTCATTACTTCCACGTGTTTCTTTACCAAGTGTTAGTTTTCCACGTACAGATTTATCACCAGATCCGGAAGTTCGACAGTTTCTACGTGATCTTCTAGACTATTTTACTCATTTAGGAAATTTTTCTCCAGTAATAGATTCTCGACTTGTTCTATCTGTTGCTGCTGAATATGATGCATATGTTCCAAGAGGTAGTGTTTGTTCACTGAAAAAAGTATATCCTAATGGTGAAATTCGTTTTTTGCCACAATCTGGTCATGTTGGTGCTTATGTGAAAAATTCTCTTTGGACAAATGATTTCAGGTAACTTATAAAATATATTTTATTGTGATTAAACTAATGACCATACAGTAATGTTTGATCCAATAGGATGATAATTCTATCCAATACTTCTGGAAGAAGTATCGGTCTTAATTGTAGGTATCACTTATCTAAATAGAGAAGTTTGATTTCAATAACAGTTTTAGCTCATTTTAATATGTTAAAGTAATTAATTTTGCTATATAAGACGGAAATTATCATCAATCAAGTCGAATACATGTTAATTCACCAGGATAACGGACTCAACATCGGTTAAAGTCAAAAGGCTTCTCGTAAATATTTGTATGTGGAAAAATATGAATGACAAATGGCTCAACAATAAATAATGTTTAGCTTTAGTTAAACTCACATTCACAATGATAAACTCATTAACGATGGTTTTAAAGCAGTTCATTTGAAAAATGACAGATCGAAAATTGCTGTTTAAACAAAAAGACCAATAGTGACATATTCAAACTAATTGAGAGAAAGAGGGAGTTTTGAATTAAAGAAGAAGAAATAGGTTTAATTATATAGTTGAAATTCACAGAAAAATTTCTGTGAATCTAGTTCCAATGCAGTTTTGCATAGATGTCTTTCGAAAAAATTCCTTGTTTCTCTGTATCAGTGTATTCCGGCCAGTTATGTTACTTTAAAATTCGTATGCAACTGTGATTTTGTCCTTTAGTTTCATTTATAAACCACTTTAAGCTCCTTATGTTACATTACATTGGATATAAGTCCACTCAACCCATTAATCTATTCTTGTTCCATTCATCATAGTTGTGACTAGGAAGTTATACGTTTGATTTTTATTTGCTAACCTTCAGGTTTCAAGTTTTTCGTATGTATTTCATTTTGGGATAGTTGGATAGTTTTTCTATCACAAAATTTACTCAGTGTTCCGTTCTCAATTATGTATTTAATTGTTTTTTTTTAATTTAAAAATCTCATTGTAGAAAAGCAATAAGTGATTGTTTAAATCAACAAGTACATTTATATCATCATGAACCTGGACCATTTGGTCGAATGAACACATCTCGTAAGAATATTCAACTTATTAAACGTTAATTTCTATATAAATTTACTATGCTGTATAGATAAAATATTATAGGTTTCTTTGTGTTATTATCATCATTATTTCTTGATTAGTCACTTTCTGCTCTCTGTTTTCTGTAAACTGATTTATCAGTAACTTGTTTGTTCTTCCAAAATGCTTTTACTATTTATAGCACATAGTTTATGAATATTATTTCACTTTGGGTTTACTATTCTTACCAAAATAAATTTGTCTATTTCCCTACGCCAATTATTTTCTATAAGAAAATTAGTGTGAGATGGGAGGGGGGCTTTGTTTATTTTCTAGACGACCTTTATGCATATGTATTATATTATAATATTAACACTCATAGTGCTCGTACATATATATTAACTCTCTTTTGAATTTTCAAGTGAAATCAAACATTCCCTTTGGTTCCGAAGTACAATACTTTAGCCATCACTCCTTCCACTACTAACCAGTGGTTTCATCTTTTAGATTCTGAGAAAAAATATATCACAATGCGACCGATATGCAGATTTCAATGAACTGATATTTTGTTATTTTTCCGAACTGTTACTGCCGCTCGTGATGGCGTCCCACAAATAGATCGTACGTCTCCGGCCCCAGGCCTCTGCCTTCTGGGCTTTGTAATCACGCTACCAGGTATTGATGCCAACATCTAATATAGTTTCTTCAGGTCCGTAAAGAAGATGTACTCTTCATTGATGGGGATAGATGTGGATTGAGTTAATTCTCCCGCTTTACATAGTTAGCCTTCTCTTCGTGTCAATTGTTGAATATGTCTTGCGTAATTATATTCTCGGCTTCAAATGTCGTGTGGCTAGGGTCCAATGCCATTACAATTTCAAACCACGGTGAAAGAAAATTGGTTGAGACTTACAGTTTAGAGGCTCAAGGAACAGTTTATAAAGACTTCGACTGTCCTGAAATTAACGTTTATTTCTAGTGAGCATCAACTGTAAGGAAGACATGTTGACTGTCACAATCGGTTCAGAAAAAGATTCATGAGACTACACTGCTATCAATCATCTTTGGGAAGGCACCATGCGAAGTGATTTCTGTCATTTTGGCGCTTGTGGACAGTGTTGTGTGCATCGTGGAATCAATAATCCTCAGCCTAATGCCGAAAGTCTTGTGTTTCGTTGCGGTTAAAGAGACTCATCACAAGACTGTCTCCCATTTTTAGAGAATGTGCTTAGACTGCAATCATGCTCTGGTGCCAGTACATGTTCTTCTGCATCAGCAAAAGTGCAACATTAAGATTACCCTTTACACTTTAGCCTGGTGATAAAAAATTCGGGATACCATTTCAGAAACAACTAGAGAAGCACTTGGTCAACCATGAGTGTAATATCAACTCCAAAGTGGTTTTGTATGACATCTAAAACAGTCGTGATAACTATTAGTAACTTAAACCAAAAGGCTAGAAAGCATCAGTTGATTTCCGTACATCTACTGAGCTGACATATGATCGTAAACTCACCAGGCTTAAAACACCATAAGTAGTGCAGGCGACTTGAAAGTAGACTGAAAAAAGGCCTACACAATGACCACGCGCAGTGGTGTGAAACGAAAGTGGAATGGACGGAAAAAATGAAGCAAAAGGAATATATCCATCGAGACAAAATAAATATTAATTGGGCGAAGAGTCCCCCTTTCGGCAAATTAATTTTTACAGCTTCACAGTCGCAGATATATATAGTCATTTTTTAGGATGATAATAATTGCAATAATAAGTTTCTGTTAAACATGGTAACAGTGAGGTAAGATGTGGTGTTTGTATGAACTAATGATTTCTTTTTATTTGACGAGTGCTTGGTTTAGAATTCCAAATACAGTATGTTCGTCCATGTTCATACAGTTCTTGGTTAAATTGAGTTATTTCTGGTGTTCCTAGTTTGTACTATAATTCAAATACTCTTAATTATCACATTGGCGTCGCAATGGTGCCTGTGACGGACCAGTTGGACATCCACTCAACTTTTGAAGATTATTTGGAGAGGTTTGGCATTTGGAGCATGACCAAGAAAGATGCGAAAGGTGATAAAATTGTGGCACATTTCCTTACATTCATCGGAAAAGAAGCCTATGGTTTATTAAAAACTTTGACATATCCAGAAAAGACTATCTCACTTCCTTATGCAACTCTTAGGAATTACTATTAAATCAGGTAAAGTGCACCAGCTTCGAATGTCGTGAAAAAGCGAAATTCCGTAAGATGATTCGTCCGAATAACCAGAAGTTTAGGGAAATGATCTTTGAATTGCAAAGACAAGGTACCGAATGCAATTTTTGTGATCAACTTCATGTGCCTGTAGTGACCTACTTTTATCAAGAGAACCTGATTAGTATAATTGAAACAATTATTATTATAACCAACTGTACCAGGGATTGTTTTGCCGTACGTGTTTGTTTAACTGTACCAAGACACATTCCTGCGTGGATTGTGACCTTGCACGAATTCGGTTACGCCCAGTAACCGCACTTGTAACCTGGCACAATCTCGGTATTCTTTCGATACCACGAGATCGCCAACAAATACATCTCGACTGCAGCCATCAACTGCCTTCTGGTATTTGGCCTACGGGGGATCTTGTCGGTTAACTGGCACGTAGTCTTCCTGTAGTGGTGATCATTGTCAACCGCGACTCGACGTCACAGTACATGCCTCTGAGGGATCGATTAATTTCAGGAATTAACATACCAGGCCTGTAAAGGGAGTTGCTAAGAATGCCAAACTTTTCTTTTCAAGATGCTCGAACTGGATGTATTAACTATGAAGCAGTCGTGTAATAGTGATTCCTATTCTCATGAAAATACGAAAGGTGATTCAGCAAGGAATCACAAAGGTAAGATAGGATGCATTCAGTTAGTATACAAAACCACTGTTGTGAATCGCTAGTTAAAGATGATGATTCTTCATATATACCTTGTGAATTTTCGGTTAACGAAACAGGACTGTCAATACTAGGTTTAAAAAATTCGAATAGTCTTAAAGTGGCGTTGTCTCTACCAGTCCCAAAGAAAATTCTGATGCTTCACTTGAAGATATCATAGCTGTGTGTGCTAAGTGCAGTTGATGTTTGGAAATGCAGCTTATAAAATTTCTAGTGCAGAAAAATCCAATCTTTCTCAAAAGATAAGTAATTCCTTATGGTCTTCGAGATGTAGTACACAAAACATTGAACAATTTGTGTGAGAAAAATATAATTGAGCCGATTAAGTCTTCATCATGGGGTACTCCTCTTCTTACTTCATTGAAGTTGTATAGCAAGACCCCTAGAGTATTTGGTGATTATAGATTAATACTGAACTCCCGTTTGTTGAAGCAAACGTGCACGACGGTAGAAGCCGAAAATATTCTAAATCGACTTCATGGTTCTAAAGTGTTCTCGAGTGTTGACCTAAAAGCTGCTTATCTGCAAATCAATCTTCATCTATTTTGAGGGCAATTAACACTCCTTTTGGTCTGTTCAAACTCAACTTCCTTCCATTTGGTCTAAGTCCTTCTCCAGCCATATTTCAGAAAGTTATGAACAAGATAGTGATCTTGAAGGTGTTGATGTCTTTCAAAATGATCTTATTGTTCATGGTTCTGATAAGGTAGTTCATGACCAGAGAATTATTGCTTTATTGCGTCGTTTAATTGAGAAGTATACTACGGTGAATCCAAATAAGTGTTCACTTTTTGTATCCAGTTTCGAGTATCTTGGATGTCTAGTTGGTGATAATGGTTTTAAACCAGATATAAAACGACAAGTGTAAGATCCATTTTGAAGGTTTTTTGTGTGAAAATCCCTCCATGTATACACTTGTACTTTGCTCCTATTGATTCCTTCATTTGTACATTTTGTTAGTCTTTTTGATTACATTTGAGATGGTAATATTTGCATTTTATCATAGTTTTTATTCTTACGCCTTTACTGAGTTTCTATGTTTCTTTCTGAACTTCATTTATGTAGTTTTAGTTGATACTTAGTCTTGGCGGCAGCCATGTTGATTTTGCTCCTCCTTTGATTGTCTTGCTTGCATTGGCTGGAATCGTGCACTTTTGATTGTGAATCGAAACACTCTTCCACTATTGGAAACATTGTGTTATAAAGCAACCAAATATTATCTTTCGAAATAATCTGTACGTGGTGTGGTGGACCAAACAATATATGAACTCAAAAATGATAACAGAGTTATTAAGTATAAATAGTAATGTTAATATATCACTTAAAATGTTATAAACACAACAAAAATTAGAGACGTTACTTAATTCAGCAGGTTTGTGCGTGTTCTGATTGATTCGGGTACCAAAATCCACAATTATAGTTGATTGAAGATTCCAGTAAGGTTGATGTCTTCCCAGTTGTATAACCAAATGTAGAATATGATATATCCCGATTATAGTCTATAAATGTAGACAGTATTTGATGTAGAGTTCAGTTAACACAATCACGAGCGAATGGAGAACGAGAGGTGTGTGTGTATAGCAGTGTATTTTTTAGCAGTTAACAGAGTGTGTTATGCTATGAATGTCACACGACGGAAGAAAATGTGTCCAAGGTCATACACTTAAACAACACGTACAATCATTTGATGAAAAATGTACATGCAGTGAAAAGTTGACAGGATAAATACAAATAACATCAAAAACTATTTACAAAATACTCTTATCAGGCCTATGTCCACATAGCTCCCCCCAGAGTGTCCGGAGGTAACACTGGTTATAACAACAACAACCACAAAAAATTGTAAGAATACGGTATATACATGGTGGAGAAGATTTGTAGCTCAGGTGGATGATTTTGGTGGAGTTTTGTTCTCTGAGCTGGATGGTATATACATGTATGAAAAAAAATATTTACAGTAATAACCAAAAAGAAAAGGTGGAGATAGGTATGACATGCACATTAGTAATATATAATGTGTTGTTGTGTAAAATAGCATTGATGTAGAGTAGCACAACAACCGCAAAAGAGAATGAAAATATG